GCAGAACCAGAACATTGTACATAGTAATAGCAATATCATAAGGAGTATCAGCTGTGAAAGAATTAGCTACTCTGATCAAGACAATGATCCAAAACAATTCCAAAGGACTTCTTATGAAAAATAATATCTGTCTCCAGAGAGAAGTGATGAACTCTAAGTACAGATTGAAGCATACTTTTAAAGCTTTATTTTTCTTGTCTTTTTTTTGTGCATTCTTTTTTATAACATGGTTAATATGGAAATATATTTTGCATAACTTCACATGTATAATTGAGATCATATTGCTTGCCTTCTCAATGGAGGAAGGAGTGGGAAGGAGAGAGAGAATTTCAAGCTTCATATTTCAACAAATGTATATTAAGTATCTTTATATGTAATTGGGAAATATTTAAAAATTTTCAAAATTTAAAAATTTAAAAAAATATAAAAATGTAGAGGGCCAGTGACAGCAGGGAAGAGATCCCATGTCTTGTAAAAATAAAGTGATTCAGTGTGTAGGCTCTGAGGAAGGGGACTCATAGGGTTCCAAACAGAGAAGTACCTACAATGTAGGTAAAAGATTCTTCAGCTCTGACTGCATGTGTGGGCTTTGGCATTTCAGGAAATATTAAGTATTTGTAATATTTTGCGGAAGTGTTACATATTTCTACAATCAACTTTATGTGACAATGTAATGATTTACACTTCTGCTAAGACAAATTGAAGTGATTTTATGATGGACTTGTAGAATTCAAAGCTGAAATAGATCCTTTGAGATCTTCTAGTCCAATCCCCTCATTTTACAGATAAGAAAACCAAGGCCCATGGAGAGGTCCAGTGATCTTGTCTAAGGTCACACAGTTAATATTTGGACCCAGGTCTTGGATTCCAGGTCCAGAGTTGTTTTTGCTGTACCGTTCTGTATCTCCCCACCTTTAATGGCTAAATATTTCAGAATAACAGGATGAAATACTGGGACTCATAAAGAATATCATGATAATAACAAATGCCCCCCAAATCTGATCTGATTTCATTTCAGTATGGTAAAATTTAGGTCAGTGTGTTTCTTTAGTCTTTACCCTCCCTGTGAATGTTGATCTGGCCAAGTCTCCCTTTTTCTTCATGGTTAAGAAGGTTACCTCTCCCTTGAAAGCAATCCCCCACCCCCGTTAGTACTCACTAGGGGTGGCTTGCCTCAATTCAGAAACTCTATAAACTCTGTGCAACTATACCATGGAAAGAGGCACTACATTAAAATGCAACATAGCTGGCTTCCTTTTCTCCTTCTAACAACAAGAAGAAGCATTTTTGTCACTTTAAGGCTTGCAAAATGCTTCACAAATATCTCATTTTATTCTCACAAAAACCTCTGGCAGTAGTTACTGTTATTATGCCTATTTTACAGTTGAAGAAACTGAGACAGACAGAGCTTAAGTGATTTGCTTAGGGTCATACAGTTAGTAAGAGAGTGAGGATGGATTTGAACTCAGATCTTCCTGACTCCAGGTCCAGCATTCTATCAATTGTACCACTTACCTAATCTTTTAGTAGATCTTTGGTGAATCACTTGATCTTTCTGGGTTTCAGTTGCTTCAGTTGTAAAATTTTGCTATTCAGTCATTTCAATTAGTCCCCATTTGGGGTTTTCTTGGCAAAGATAATGGAGTGGTTTGCCATTTCCTTCTTCGTTCATTTTACAGATGAGGAAACTGAGGCAAATAGGGTCAAGTGACTTGTCCTGGGTCACACAACTAGTAAGTGTCTGAGACAGGATTTGAATTCGGAGAGATGAATCTTCCTGACTCCAGGCCCAGAGTTCTATTCACTATGTCACCTCATCCATAAAATGGGGGTTAATAATGCCTTAGCACCTTAGAGTGGGAAAGGACCTTAGGGGTCTTCTAGTCCAAACTCCTTATTTTACAAATTAAGCAACTGAAGTCCAGAGAAGCGAAGCACTTTGCTGTTCCATTTCTAATTAAGAATCAGAGCTGGGATGAGAACCTGGATTTCATGACTTCCACCGACACCCCAGGGTGCTTTCTGCTGCATTCCTTTGCTTGCCCACTCTATCACCTTTCTAAGGAAATGTTTTACAACAATCTTTTTCAAGCTATAAGCTATAAGAGATTTTTTTGGAGTGGACTTAAGAATTTATTGGTTTATAGAAGTCCTGGTGAGGAAATTCCCTCCTCCAATGCAGATATATTCTCTGTAGTTTTAGAGAGTTGCCTTGGGCACTGTGGGATTAAATTATTTGTCCAGTGTCAGAGGCAGGACTTACTCCAGACTTCCTGACTCTGAGTCATGTTCCCTACCTAATATATCACACTGCTTTTCATATGACATGAAGGGAAGGGGATAAGTATTTATATAGTCCCTGCTATGTGCTAGGCATTGCACAAATATTATCTCATTTGATCCTTACAACCACCCTGAAAGGTAGGTGCTATTATTATTTCCATTTTGCAGTTGAGGAAACTGAGGTAATCAGCAATGAAGTGACTTACTTGCCCAGGGTCACACAGCTAGTAAGTGTCTAAGGATGGATTTGAATTCAGGTCTTCCTGATTCCAGGCCCAGCACTCTATCAACTGCGCCACCTAGCTGCAGCGTGAAATAAGGCAGTGGAAAGAGTTCTGGTCTTGGATTCAGGGATTCTTAGGTTTGAATCCCATCTTTGTAATTTATGAGCTACTATTTTACTTTTCTGAACCTCAGCTTCCTTGTCTATAAAATGAGGATAACACCTCATCCAACAACCTTCAGTGCCTGGAATGCACTTCTTCCTTACTTTCCCCTCATAGAGTCTCTCCTCTCTTTCTGTAAGATGATGCTCATCTACTATCTTCTTCATGGGCCTTTCCTGATCCCCCCATGCCTCCTGCAAATGCCCATCCTCCCGAACTACCTTGTATTTAACTACTTTGAGTGTGTTTGTATTTATCTATTTTATATTATATATATGCACACATATGTAAACACATATATGTATATATACACACATAATACTTGTCTCCTCCATCGGAATATAAGCTCATTGTGAGTAGAAATCATTTCAGTCTTTGTCTTTGTATCTCCAGTGCCTAACACACTGTTTTATACATATTAGGGGCTTAATAAATACTTGTTGATTTGATTGGTTGAATATCATTAGTATGTATGGTCTATCTCATAGTGTTGTTTCAATGAGAGAATTTATGTGAAGTACTTGTAACCCTTTAAAGTTCTCTATAAATGCCAACTCTTATTATAATAACTTAAACAGATCAGGAAGTCCATGAACCATGTTTGTAGGTTCTAGGTTATATTCCAACCCCCTGTCTTCCAGGCTGCAGGTATTTGCCTGTTAGTATGGTTATGCCTTGGCAGTAGTATATACAGAATCATTGTCCCCAGCTCTGGGACTGAGTATGCCCAGCAAACTTGGTCTGGGCCATAGAGCAATCACCTACTTACAATATCACTGTTTACAGATTGTGCTCATTCTTCTGACCCCTATAGCTGAGTTTTTTCTGTCTTTCCTCTCTCATCCTCAAATGACAGAGTGGTTAAGGAATCTTTCTATTGTAAGAGCAATATAATCTTATAAAATATTAAAATCAATGTGAGGGGGGAGTAAAAGCCATAAACCAAGCCTTGTGTACTGTTACCCATTGAGACAGCTTTCTAGGAATGTATTCATAATAAGCAGGTCTATTTCTCTAGCAACTGCTCTAATATCTATGATCTCATTTGATCCTCACTTCAATCCTGGGAAGAAGGAAAGGCAGATATCTGAAGGAGGCACAAGGGAGGTGCTAGTACTAGGGTAGATAAGCAAGTAGGAGTGGACCTATGATATGTAATTGCCAGAGGTCAGAGCAGGGAGCAGCTCAGGAATTCAGGACCATGGAGAGCAGGGTTCAATGGGAGATACTGGCAATAGGGATACCATGGAGGTGACCCCACCAAAGGTGAAAGTTTTTGTCCTAATCCAGAGTTTCTAATGTGTTCCTTGTCAGAACAAGGATTGTTCCCAGGGTCAGAGTAGCTTAGAGACTGAAGGTAACTGCTTATATCCCTGATAGAATATAGGGTAGGGACTTTCATTTTTGTTGCTATATCCCTAGCACCTAGTGGGGTACCTGACCTGACACGCAGTAGGCATCTATTAAATTGATTGATGTGGTCATAGAGCTGAAGCAGAGGCCTCTGGTGGTTCAAGAACAGAATCCAAGGTCTAGAGTAAACTAAAATTTTCTGAGGCAGACCCATTTTTGACAGCTTTGGGTTATAGGACTCAGAGCTAGTAGGGACTTCAAGGACCCCCTAATCCCAACCACTTTTTTTTATTGATGAGAAAACTGAAATTAGGAGAGGTTAAGGCTGGTTCAAGGACATATAAATAGTAAGTAATAGAAGAAAATAAAATGAAGGGCTTACTGTATTGCTTTCCTTGTAAAGTCTACCCTTAAAGAAACTCACGTGGTCCTAGTACATTTTCTCTATTTAGAAGTCCCCAAATAGTTATTCCCTCTTGCTTTACTGCTCTTTAATGTTCCTTCTTTCTACTCTGGAGATTGGACATGTAGCCACTTGAAGCTCTTTGTACAGAGAGAGCAGGCAACAAACCACAAGTTTCCTTCCCTATGTGCAGAGTAGGATACTCTTGCTGACCTTAGAAAGGATATGAAATTGGGATGTTCTTCCCACCTTTCATCTCCAGGAATGGCCAATAGTTTATAGATGGGTGCGTTTAGACCACTGTGGTCTGTATCTGTAGGACTGCCAATTGGAATAAAGATGTATATTTCTTAACATCACGCCTGTAGGTTGACTTATCAAGTATTCCTGATGATGAGTGGTCTGGGAGTTCTGTCAAACTACTACATCAAACCAATGGAGTAGTTTCAAATAGCTTCTTTCGGTCTTGCCCAAGATAGGGTCACCTGAATCTGATCCCACCCATCAGGTTCTGGTTTTTCTCTATTTTTCCTACTTGGCTCAATGTTCTAATATCCTGTTTTCTCTGTTGTCAGGAGGCCCAGAAGATTAACAATGGAGCTACTCAGGCAGATGGCACCCTCAAACCAGTGGATGAAAAAGAGGAGGCCGTGGCAGCAGAAGTTGGCTGGATGACCTCTGTGAAAGACTGGGCGGGAGTGATGATATCTGCCCAGACATTAACTGGCAGAGTCCTGGTAAGGCCCTCACCCTCTATTTATTTATTTTTCTTTTGCAATGATTATTTACCTCTTTTATTGTTTTATGGATGATCCTTTTATTTCATGGTAAACTGTATCCTGAGTATTAGACTCAGGCATCCTTCTGATTGGTGGTGGTGAGATGCTGGCAAAGGAGAGGGACGCTTTGTATTTTCATCAAGGAGAAGTGGTGTCATTGCTGTTTCTCGAAAATAGCCTCCTTCCTTGTGCCTAAAGAACATGAGTCTTGGTACTTTTCAAGGGAGTTCATTGAAAATGGGCTCTAGAATAATCTGCTTGGCAATGATCACAGCTGGTGCCTCAGATCCCTCCTTCCTTTGCTGTCTTCCCTCCTGCAAAGTGGATGAGAACTGTCCAAAAATGAAGAGAAAAGTAAAGAAAATCAGTACATGGCTGGAAGTCTTTTGGGGCTCAAGACTGCTATAACTTGTGGAATAGTAAAGGCAGGGCTTGCTGGGGATAGACTTTCTCTCTCAGTCTCTCTGTCTCTCTCTGTCTCTGTTTCTGTCTCTCTCTCTGTCTTTGTTTTGACTTGGGAGAGCCATTTATATTTTCCTGCTCCTTAAAGATGACTTATTTGATTTGGCCTACCTTCTTGACTTCATTTATCTATTTTGTAATCTCTTTTCCTTGAACTCAGGTGAGTTGAATCCTGTTGGAGGATCAAACCAGATGTGTATTCAAAGTGATTAGGAAATAACTTAGGAGCTAGGAACATACTGAGGCCAATCAGACTCTAGTGGGTGCTCATTGCTCTGAGGTTATGCTATTTGCCCAGTGTATTTGCTGGAGGAAAGAGTTTTGGATTGGGAGGGATTGGCCCTGGGTTCAGATTCTTGCTTTGCCTCTAAATATCCATCTGACATTATACACATCCCAGGTCTCCTGTCTGAGTGATAGTTTCTGATTAGATCATTCCTAAAATTTTTCTTAGCTCTGGTTCTTATTCCTTTACTTTAAAGAAGTTCAGAGGGAGGAGAGATGACTATGGACTGGAGAGATCCTCCAGGGGAGTCCTCCAGGGTGGTGAGGAGGCTTGAAAACAGATCATATGAGGATCATTGCAAGAAACTGGAGATGCTCAGCTTTAGGAAGAGACTCAACAGGGACATAATCACTGCCTTCAATTGTTTGAAAGATTGTTTTGTGGGAAAAGAGATTAATATTTATCTTATATGCCTCTAGAGCACAGAATAGGACCAAGATGTAGAAGTAACAGAGAAGCAGATTTGGGCCCGGTAAAAGGAAGGACTTCTAAAAGTTAGAGCTGCCATAAAGGTAGACTGGCCTTCTTTACATCATAATGAGTAGAGTTCAGTAGCCCTGAAATTGTTCAAACAATGACTCGTTGACCTTTTCTTAGGGATGTTATAGAGGTGATTTTTTTTTGTTTGTTTTATCTAAGAGTTGGGCTAGTTAATATTGAAGGTGTCTTAAATTTTTTCCCCTTTACCTATTAATGGTTACATCTTAGATCTCATCATCTTACAGAATCCCAAAGTCCTGAGCTTTAAAAATTCTCCAATAACAACAATTAAAGCCATTCCTTTGATCTTTCCACCTCTTCTGCTCCCATTCACACCAAACATCTTTTTTTTCCCACTATTGTGACTGTTGGTCCCTTGACCCCTCCCTATGTTTACCGGTTACATAAGGTGGGGAAGTACCTTCTTATTACTTCTCCTCTGAGCCAAAGTTGATCATTCTCACTACTGAGCTGTCGACCCTTATCTCCAACTGTCTTTAGGACATAGCCCCTGGATGTTCCTTCCACCAGTTCCTCAAACTTAACAAATTCAAAACCAAAAGTCATTTCTCCTAAAACTGCTCCATCTTCACTATTTCTTTTTGTGGCACTAAAATTAATCAGTTTATTAACAGGTATTTATTATGCTCCTACTGTGTGCCTGGCACTGTACTAAGTACTGAGGATACAAAGAGAAAAATGACTCAGTCCTTGATTTTAGGAGCTTCCATTCCACCAGAAAAGATATGTACAATAAAGTATGTATGAAATGTAGGCAAATAGAGATTGAACTGGTGATTTTATTACTGTAAGAAATTCCCAGATGAGGAAACTTTTCTACCAAAGCAGGTTAGCACCTTCTTTGCAACTAATAGTCTTAGAGAGTTGTCTACAGCACTTAGAAGTTAAATAACTTGCCCAGGGTCACACAGCTGGTATGTGTTAGAGGTGAAAGTAACTAAAAATATTTAAAAATGTGTTTTGTTAAATATTTTTTCAATTACATATAAACATTTTAACATTCATTTTTTAAATTGAGTTCCAAACTTTCTTCCTTCCTTCCCTCCCCCACCCCTTGATAAGGCAAGCAAAATATTGCTTATACATATGAAGTCAGGTAAAGCACATTTTCAGCCATGAGAGAAAACACACACACACAAGAAAAATAAAAAAAAGTTAAAAAATATACTTTAATATGAACTCAGAATTCATCAGTTCTGTCTTTGGAGGTAGATAGCATATTTCATAATGGGTCCTTCAAAATTGTCTTATTGTATTGATTAGAATAGCTAAGTAATTCACAGTTGAATTCACAGTTGAAAATCATTACAATATTACTATGACTATGTACAATGATCTCCTAATTCTGCTCATTTCACTTTGCATATGTTCATATAAGTCTTTCCAGGTTTTTTTGAAACTGTCTTGTTTGTCATTTCTTATAGCACAATAGTATTCCATCACAATCACATAGCACACTTTGTTCGGCCATTGCACAATCAATAGGCATCCCCTCAATTTCCAATTCTTTTCCCCCACAAAAAGAGCTGCTAGAAATTTTATATATATATATATATATGTATACATACACACACACACACACACACACATATATATATATATATGTACACATATATTTGTACAAGTGGGTCCTTTTCCCTTTTTAAAAATCTCTTTGGGATGTAGATGTAGTAGTGGTATTGCTGGGTCAAAGGTATGCAGTTTTATAACCCTTTGGACATAGTCCCAAATTGCTCTCCAAAATGGTTGGACTAGTTTATAACTCCACCAATAGTGCATTAGTGTCCCAATTTTTCCACATCCCATCTAGCATTGGTCATTTTCTTTTTCTGTCATGTTAGTTTATCTGATTGGTATGAGGTGATATCTCAGAGTTGTGTTAATTTATATTTCTAAAATCAATAGTGATTTAGAGTATTTTTATGTGTCTATTAATAGTTTTGATTTCTTCTTCTGAAAACTGACTATTCATATCCTTTGACCATTATCAATTGGTGAATGGCTCATTTTTTAAAATAAATTTGACTCAGTTCCACACTTATTTGAGAAATGAGGTCTTTTTCAGAGAAACTTGCTGTAAAAATTTTCCCCCAGGTTCTGCTTTCCTTCTAATCTTGGCTACATTGGTTTTATTTGTGCAAAACCTTTTTAATTTCATGTAGTCAAAATTATGCATTTTACTTCTGTGGTTCTCTCTATTTTTTGTTTGGTCATAAACTCTTCCTTTGTCCATAGTTCTGACAGGCACATTTTCCCATGCTCCCCTAATTTACTTATATCACCCTTTATGTCTAAATCATTTATCCATTTTGACTGAGGTGTTGGTCTATGCCTAGTTTCTGCCAAATTGCTTCCCAATGGTGAAAGTAAATTTTGGAGGAAAGGGCATTAATAGCTGGGTAATCTGAAAAGGATTCATGTAGAAGGTGGCATTTGAGCTGGGTTTTTAAGGAAGGAAGCAAGGGATTCCAACAGGGAGAAGTGAGAAAAAAGTGAATTCTAGGCATAGGGGTAAAGGCATGAAGACAGAACATGGAGTGTCCAAGACAGCCAAGCTGAACCACAGAGTAAAGGAAGAGGAGTCATGTATAACAACCCTGGAAAGATAGGATGGACCCCATTGTGAAGGTCTGCCATGTTTATAACTTTGGAGTCACTCAACTCTTCCTTCTCAGATCCAATCAATTACTAGGTATTGTTGATTTCCCTTTTTCTTTATCCCTACAGCTACTGCCCAAGTAGATTGTCTCATTACAATTTGCCTGCACGATTTCAAGGACCTTCTAACAGGAGACAATCTTTTTTATCTTCCCTCTCCAATCCATCCTTGTCTCCATAGCCAAAATGGTCTTTTGTAAGTGTTGATCCCTGTTTCAAAATGAGGAGAGGTACCTAAACCCACACAATAGATTATAGCCAGGACTAGAAATCAGTTTTGTTTCTTTTCTTAATCTCTTACTTCAGTGCTCTCTCTCCCTTCCACATTCCATCCCTGACCTGGACCAATGTCTCTTACAACCTGTTTCCTCACAAGCTACTGGGATTTTGGCTGTGGTATTTTGACATTGCTTTGCTTTAAACTAATTAGGTCCTGTGGCTTCTTGGCCTGGCTCTTAATATTTGCTTGCACAGACATTGCTTACCCACATGTCCAGGTTCACTACTACCTAATCTGCCAGCTGGTCTCTTTAGAAAAAAAAATTCTACACAAGGCTAGGCCAAATCTTTTGTTCCTGGGTAGCTCACAGAATCATAGCTACATGGGACTTTAGAGATCATAGGATCACAGAATCTTAGACTATCAAGAAGGACAAAACCTTAGAGTTTATCTGATCCAATCCTGTTGTATTTACAAATTAGGAAACTGAAGCATAGAGATAGTATACAATTTGGCCAAAGTTAGCTCAAGCCCTAACCAAGACTAGAACGCTTGTCTCCTGACTCTCAGACTGCTCTCCTTCTGTTATACAACATTATTTCCTTCCTACATGGGGTGCCTCTGTACCAAGTACAGTGCCAAGCACATAAAATCCTAGAATCATAGATTTAGAGTTAGAAGGGACCTTAGAGCTTATCTGTTTCAAACTCTTCATTTTCCAGATGAGGAAACTGAGGCCCAGGGAAGTTAAGCCTCTGCAAGTTAAGCCTTCTCAGAATCATGATTTTAAATAATTGAAGGAAATGTTAAATGTTAGTTAGAGGTGAGTGA